GTGTCTGTGCAAGTCGGTTTGGGGGACGATAGGAGCCTCAGTTTTGCGGGGGAGCAGGCAGTTGGGGGCGTTGGTTCCAGCTTGGCCAGGGCGGGGGACGTCTTTCCCAGCCTGGGAGGGACGAAGTGGGGTGGTCATGGGTACATTTGTTCCATTTGGGGAAAAGTCTGGGACGGTGATGCTGTTTGTCCCAATTTGGGGGAGATGGAGAGGAGCCGAAGTCCAGCTTTGGGGCAGGGAGGGGCCCGTAGGGAGGGACATTGATTTCACTTTGGAAGTGCCTGTTTCATTTTGAAAGGGTTTGGACAAGGGATGTCAGCCCACTTACAGCGTTGGGTGGCACTGTGGCGGTGTATCCCAGCCTGATGTATGTCGCATCTAAGTGGTTGTGAGGTGATGATAAGATACCTGCCCAGCCTGCAGGGGTCGGGAGGGGACTTCACATGGACCGGGGTAGTCTGTATGCCCAGCGCCGACTCCCTTCCCCTGCCCAGAGGAAGTCTCTCCGGGAACGTTGGCTAATGGATGGGGCAGCTGCAGGGCCAGAGCCATCCGAGGACCCCACCTCGAAGGACCCCCAGTCGCCGGAGGGCCAGGCTCAGGCCCGAATCCGGAACCTGGAAGACAGCTTGTTCACGTGAGTGAAGACCTGCTAGCTCTGCCCCAGCTGGGTGAGATGGAGACCCTGGGCGCATTCCAAGGAGTTGGTAGCTTCAGCCTGGAGCCCAAGGAGCCTGGGGGCCCAGGTCCTAGCAGCCCTCTCTCTTCTTCAGACTCCAGTCCCAGCTGCAGCTGTTGCAAAGTGCTTCCACAGGTGCCCAGCACAAGCCCTCAGACAGGCCCAGCTGGCGCAGACAGGTGAGGGGGTGATCAGGGGAGTGGGATGGGGGGCGTGGCCAGCAGGCCTCAAAGCGGAACATGGAACCAGGAATGCAGCTTTCTCCAAGTGCAGTCTGGCCACTAGGTCTGCATTCAGATCCGCTTCCCGCTGTTACTTTGCTCTGTGGTCTTGGGCAAGTCAGTTTCCTTTCCCAAGCCTTAGTTTCCCCATCTCTAAAATGGGAATAACAACAGTACAGGCCGGGCGCGGTGACTCACGCCTGTGATCCCAGCACTTTGGGAGGCCGAGGTGGGCAGATCACTTAAGGTCAGGAATTGGGAGACCAGCCTGGCCAACATGGTGAAACCCCATCTCTACTAAAAACACAAAAATTAGCTGGGTATGGTGGTGTGTCCCTGTAGTCCCAGCTACTGGGGAAGTTGAGGCAGGAGAATCACTTGAACCCGGGAGGCGGAGCTTGCAGTGAGCGGAGATCGCGCCACTGCACTCCAGCCTGGGCGACAGAGCGAGACTCTGTCTCAAAAAAACAAAAATTAGCTGGGCGTGCTGGCAGGTGCCTGTAGTCCCATCTACTCGGGAGGCTGAGACAGGGAAATCACTTGAAACCAGGAGGCGGAGGTTGCAGTGAGCCGAGATTATGCCGCTGCACTCCAGCCTGGGCGACACAGCAAGACTCCATCTCCAAAAAAAAATTTAATTTGTATTTATGTTGATTGGAATGTAAGTGCCAATAACAAAAGGCTTAAGTGTCTCTTGTCCATGGTAACCAGTAACTGGCAAAGTAGGCCCCTAATACAGGAGACTGGCTATGGGAATGCAGCATTGTTTAAGCACTTACTGTGTGCAGGGTCCTAGAACATAGGGCAATAAGATAGATGAGGAAGGCGGAGGTGCAATGTGGAGTTTGATCCTGAAGGTAATAGAGAGCCACTGAGGGTATTTGGGGGTGGTGGGGTGGGAGCCTAGCATGCAGGGAGGCTGGAGGTGGGGATGAGGGCCAGCCTGACCTTGTCTCCGCCATCTCTGCAGGGTCATCGTCCTCTCTCCCAGCTCATTGTTGAGGCAGGTTCTGTAGGTAAGTGTGGGAGCCCCTAGGTCTGGGGGTCAGGTCACCCCAGAGCCTGGGTGTGAGAGGGTGACCCAAGGGGAGTGTGGATGACGGTCCTTTTGTTCCATCTTAACCCTGTCTTCCCTTTTGTCCTCTCCCCTCCGCCTCTGACTCCCCCAGGCCAGACTGATCTGAAGAAGAGAGCCTCCCTGCCGGCCAGACTAGTGGGCACACCTCCAGAGTCCCCCTCTGAGCCCAGGGAGGATGTCTTGGGGTTTCTGCCAGCCCCGAGGCAGGTCCCCGGGGCAGCAGGGGATTCCTCAGAAGCCAATGGCCCCTGCCCCAGCCCCATCCCCACTCCAGAGCAGGGGCTAAGTCAGAGGGCGGTGCCATCCAAAGGGCAGGTGGGCGAGGCCAAAGGAGGGGGCGTGGTGAGTGTGGTGTGGGAAGGGCTGAGGGTCACAGAGGACTGTGCCACAGGGGCCACGGGCCCCGAGCTGGAGGCTAAGGTAGAGGAAGTGGTGCTGGAAGCCATCGGAGACAGGAAGGGAGCTGGTAGCCTGGAGCTCCCGGCCTGGGTGAAGGAGGACAGGGGCATCGTGGAGGTGGTATGGGAGGGGGTGGGTGGCAGCGACACAGAGGCCACGGGGGTGGTAGGCAGGGTCCCTGAGGCCGTGCAGTCCAGCTCGCCTAGGCTCCAGGAGAGATTAGAGGCAGCAGCTTCCAGAGAAGGGGAAGATGTGCCCCGGGGCAGCCCTGAGGGTGACGGGCATGGAGGTTCTGGAGGAGAGGAGGGGTCCTTCATTTGGGTGGAAAGAGTGACCCTCAGTGAAGAGTGGGAGGAGCTGCTGGTGGAGGGGTTGGAAGGGCCTGAGGTGGCAGGGAGGGAGAGAGGAGATGAAAGCCCATTGGGGGCCGAGGAGGCTGAGACGGGAGGAGGCGAGGAGACCTGGGAGGCAGAGAAGAGAAAAGCGGAAGAATCCATGAGAATAGGAAGTGAGGAAAAGCCAGGGACAGGGAGGGATGGAGCGGAGATGTCGCCTGTGGTAGAGAGGAAAGGAGGGGAGAAGAAGTTGGAACTGGAGAGCAGTGGAGGTGCAGAAAAGCTGGGAACAGAGAGGGAAGGAGTTGAGGAACCACTGGGCATAGAGAGAAAAGTTGAGGGACATTTGAGGGCAGAGAAGGAAGAAGGTGAGGAAAAGCGAGGGGCAGAGAAGGAGGAGGTAGAAGAATTGGGAGTAGAGAAGAAAGGAGGTGAGGAAGAGCCAGAGGCAACTGAAGAACCACTGGAGGCAGAGAGAAAGGGAGGGGAGGAGACACTGGAGGCAGAGAGAAAGGGAAGGGAGGAGACACTGGAGGCAGAGAGAAAGGGAGGGGAGGAGACACTGGAGGCAGAGAGAAAGGGAGGGGAGGAGACACTGGAGGCAGAGAGAAAGGGAGGGGAGGAGACACTGGAGGCAGAGAGAAAGGGAGAGGAGGAGACACTGGAGGCAGAGAAAAGGGGAGGTGAGGAATCACTGGAGGCAGAGAAGACCCAAGGGACCGAGGGAGATCTGAATCTAGAACAACAGGCGTCTAGGGAAGGAAGTGAATCCCAGGCAGAGGAGGTGAATGAGGCAGGGCCTCCCCTTGAGGCTAACACGGAGACAAGGCCAGAGGAGGAAGGACCCCAGCCCCAGGAGAAGCCAGTAGGAGCCCTGGAGGAGGAAGGAGTGAAGCCCCAAACTGCTGCTGAGGGCCAAGGCCCCTTGGGGGATGCCACACCCCTTCTGGCAGAGACCCCAGCCCCAGAGCAGCCTGCCGAATGCCAGCCACTGCTTCAGGAGGAGGGGCCCAGCGCCAACCCCAGTGCCCACCCTGTGCCCACCTATGCGCCTGCCCGGCAGCCTGAGCCATCTGCCCCCACCGAGGGTGAAGAGGCAAGCGGCCCTAAGCAAAAGACGTGCCAGTGTTGTGCGGTCATGTGAGCCCGCGCCCCTCCACCCCACGTCCAGCTCCTCTCACAGCTACCTCGGCCTCTTGGCACCCAGTAGAGGGTCCCAGGCGCAGACAGGGCACCACAGGACTGACCATGGCACCTGGGAGCCAGCTAGCCTGCACGTCCACCTACACCTGGGCTTCCGGACCCCTTGCCCACTGCCTGTGACCCTGGCCTCCTTCTGCGATGAAACCTTTATACTTGAAAATAAAACATGAAAGCACTCAGACAGCTTGAGTGTGTGTGTAGTCAGCACAGAATCACAGCATCATCTCTTGGTGGGAAATTTGAGGCTTAACCCTGCTACAGTCAAAGATGATGAATCAGTAGGAGTATAGATTGAGCTGCTGTAACAAAAAGACCTCAAAACGACAGTAGCTATAAAAATATAAAAGTTTATTTTTCTCAGTGGTTCTGATCCATGCAGTCATTCAGGGATTCAGGTTCCTTTTCATTTCTTGCTCCACCTTCCCCTTGCGTATGGCCAAAGTTGAATCATAGGCATGTGTTATGTTCCAGCTCATAGGCAAGGAAAGCGTGTGGGGGAGCCCCCACCCAGACCCTGTGTTGCCACGTCACTTCTGACCACGTTCTGTTGCCAAGAGCTCAGTCCATGCTGCACCTGGCTGCAAAGGAGCTGAGATGATGCCCAAATGCAGTACTTTTTTTCTTTTTGCTTTTTATTTATTTATTTTTAAGATAAGGTCTCATTCTGTCTCCCAGCCTGGAGTGCAGTGGTACAATCAGAGCTCCCTGCAGCTTCGAACTCCTGGGCTCAACCAATCCTCCTGCCTCAGCCTCCCAAGTAGCTGGGACTACAGATGTGTGCCATCATGCCCAGCTGATTGTTTTTGTTTTTGATGTTTCATTTTTGTAGTAAGAGGTCTTGCTCTGTTGCCCAGGCTGGTCTCAAACTCCTGGCCTTAAGTGATCCTTCCACCTTGGCCTGCCAAAGTGCTGGGATTATAGGCGTGAACCACTGTGCTGGGGTCCGAATGCAATTCTGTTATAGCGGAACAGATTTTGGCAGGCAGCCAATTTCATGTATTTTCCTTTGCTCCATCTTCCATCCATGCCTTCCCCATGGAGGCCAAGCCCTTCTCTATAGGGGTCCTTCAATCCCACCTTTGCCTGGCTGGGAGTCCTCAGGTAAGTGACTCAGACTCTCTGAGCCCTCAGTGTCTTCATCCATCAAGAGGGCTAATCCAGGACTGGAGTGCAACCTGCATGAGCATCCCTCTGGCCTGGCTGGCAGTCCCCAGCCAGAGGTGTGGTTCAGGCCAGAACCTGCGGCCTGGGGGTGCCCAGAAGGCCCAGCTCCTCAGGTGTGGGCAGGAAGTGCTTCTCATACCCAGAGTCAAGCGGGGCTGTGACCTGGGGGGGCTGGGAGGACTCCATAACCGGCGGGGGCTCCATCTCCTCCACTTCCAGGATGGGCAAGTCCGCAAGGGGCTGGGCCTCAGGCACTTGCTGGGAAGACATGAGGAGCTTGTAATCCTGCCCCAGCCTCCCCCACCTACCCCTCACCCTCTCCCCACTGCCCCAGAGGGCTCCGACTGGCCGGCCCTTTGACTCACCTCCATGTGAGGCTGGCCTGAAGTGCTGTTGGCAGGATCAGGAACCTTCTCCCAGACCCAGCGGGGCAGCACCTTGTGCCATAGGTGGTAGCACCTGGCAAGCCAGGAGGAGTCAGGGCAGCGGATCCAGATGGCCAGATGCCCCAGCCCAGGATGCAGGGTTCATGAATGTGACTGAGCCCCAAGGCCTCCCTTCAAGCCCCCTGGAAGCTCAGCGAAATGCCCAGCCGCCTTCCCCACGTGGGCAGAGATGCACGTATCTGACAGCCTCACCTTCCAGAGGTGGCCAGGCTCAGACCACACCCCATCAGGAACAAGCCCCACAAGAACAGGATGCCCGGCAGGACTTTCCACCTCAGGGTGTTATCTGGTAGGGTAGGGAAGAGATCATTCTTAATTTTTATTTTATTTTATTTTTTATTTTTATTTTTGAGATGGAGTCTTGCCCTGTCGCCCAGGCTGGAGTGCAGTGGTGCGATCTCAGCTCACTGCAACCTCTGCCTCCTGGGTTCAAGTAATTCTCCTATCTCAATCTCCCAAGTAGCTGGGATTACAGCCGCGCGCCACCACACCCGGATAATTTTTGTATTTTTAGTAGAGACGGAGTTTCACCACATTGGTCAGGCTGGTCTCAAACTCCTGACCTCAACTGATCTACCCATCTTGGCCTCCTAAAAGTGCTGAGATTACAGGTGTGAGCCACTGCGCCTAGCAATTCTTAATTTTTTAAAGACAGGATCTTGCTCTGTTGCCCAGGCTGGAGTGCAGTGGTGTAATCAGCGTACTGCAGCCTCCAACTCCTGGGCTCAAGCGATCCTCCAGCTCAGCCTCTCCAGGAGCTGGGACCACAGGCGCATGCTACCACATCCAGCTAATTGTTTTATTTTTTGTAGAGATGGGGTCTCACTATGTTGCCTAGGCTGGTGTCGAACTCCTGGGCTCAAGTAATTCTCCTGCCTCAGCCTCCCAGAGTGTTAGGATTACAGGGGTGAGCCACTGCACCAGCTTCCAAGTAATGACTCCAGACGCTACCTAGAGCGCATCCCCTCCCTGTGGCAATCCCATCCCAATCCCCCTACCTGGTAGATGAAGCCGGAGGATGGGACCAGGAGGGCCCTGTCCAGCGATGGTAGATGCTGTCACCCACAGCTCACAGGGACCCCAAGGAAGGTCAGGCAGGGTGACACTCTGTGTGTTGCCACTCACTGGAGAACACAACCAAAGAAGTTGGGGAGGTGGTCAAGCCTACCACAGGGCCTTTGCATGTGCTCTTCCTGCTGTCTGCAACACTTTCTCCCAGATATCAGCATGGCTCCTTCCTCATCTCTTTTAGGTCTTTGCTCAAAGGTCACTTCTTCCATGGGACTTTCCTTGACCCCGTTCTATTTGAAATTGCACCCCCTTCACCACCCACCTTCCTTGATTCTTTTTTTTTTTTTTGAGATGGAGTCTCGCTCTGTAACACTCTGTTGCCCAGGATGGACTGCAGTGGTATGATCTCAGTTCACTGCAACCTCCGCCTCCTAGGTTCAAGCAATTCTGCTGTCTCAGCTTCCTGAGTAGCTGGGACTACAGGTGCCTGCCACCACATCTGGCTAATTTTCATATTTTTAGTAGAGACTGGGTTTCACCATATTGGTCAGGCTGGTCTCAAACTCCTGATCTCAGGTGATCTGCCCGCCTCAGCCTCCCAAAGTGCTGGGTTTATAGGTGTGAGCCACCATGCCCAGCCCCTGGCTTCATTCTCTACTTGGCAGTTATCACCATCTTATATACTGCTTAGATATTATTTAGTTTTTCTTTGCACAATCTCGGCTCACTGCAACCTCCACCCCCTGGGTTCAAGCAATTCTAGTGCCTCAGCCTCCTGAGTAGCTGGACTACAGGCTGCGCCACCAGGCCTGGCTAATTTTGTATTTTTAGTAGAGATGAGGTTTCACCATGTTGGCCAGGCTGGTCTCAAACTCCTGACCTCAAGTGATCTGCCTGCCTTTACCTCCCAAAGTGTGGGGATTACAGGTGTGATCCACCATGCCAGACCTTCTATATATATATTTAAAATTACATATAGGCCGGGCATGGTGACTCAAGCCTATAGTCCCCGCACTTTGGGAGGCCGAGGCGGGTGGATCACGAGGTCAGGAGTTCGAGACCAGCCTGACCAACATGGTGAAACCCCATCTCTACTAAAAATACAAAAATTAGCTGGGCATGGTGGTGCGTGCCTGTAATTCCAGTTACTCAGGAGGCTGAGGCAGGAGAATCGCTTGAATCTGGGAGGAGGAGGTTGCAGCGAGCCAAGATTGCACTGTTGCACTCCAGCCTGGGTGACAAAGCAAGACTCCATCTCAAAAAAAAAAAAATGGAACCGTACCACGGAATTTTGACATCCTTTTATCTTTTTCACTAATAAAATATGATAGGCATCTTTCAATGTCGATAAATATAGATT